GAGAGGTGAGGGCAGAGAGGGTAGAGAGGTGAGGGCAGAGATGTGAGAGCAGAGAGGTGAGGGCAGAGAGGTGAGGGCAGAGAGGGTAGAGAGGTGAGAGCAGAGAGGTGAGGGCAGAGAGGTGAGGGCAGAGAGGTGAGGGCAGAGAGGTGAGGGTAGAGAGGTGAGGGCAGAGAGGTGAGGGCAGAGAGGTGAGGGTAGAGAGGTGAGGGCAGAGAGGTGAGGGCAGAGAGGTGAGGGCAGAGAGGGCAGAGAGGTGAGGGCAGAGAGGTGAGGGCAGAGAGGTGAGGGCAGAGAGGGTAGAGAGGTGAGGGCAGAGAGGTGAGAGCAGAGAGGTGAGGGCAGAGAGGTGAGGGCAGAGAGGTGAGGGCAGAGAGGTGAGAGCAGAGAGGTGAGGGTAGAGAGGTGAGGGCAGAGAGGTGAGGGTAGAGAGGTGAGGGCAGAGAGGTGAGAGCAGAGAGGTGAGGGCAGAGAGGTGAGGGCAGAGAGGGCAGAGAGGTGAGGTAGAGAGTGAGGGTAGAGAGGTGAGGGCAGAGAGGTGAGGGCAGAGAGGTGAGGGCAGAGAGGTGAGGGCAGAGAGGGTAGAGAGGTGAGGGCAGAGAGGTGAGAGCAGAGAGGTGAGGGCAGAGAGGGTAGAGAGGTGAGAGCAGAGAGGTGAGGGCAGAGAGGTGAGGGCAGAGAGGGCAGAGAGGTGAGGGTAGAGAGGTGAGGGCAGAGAGGGTAGAGAGGTGAGAGCAGAGAGGTGAGGGCAGAGAGGTGAGGGCAGAGAGGTGAGGGCAGAGAGGGTAGAGAGGTGAGAGCAGAGAGGTGAGGGCAGAGAGGTGAGGGCAGAGAGGGCAGAGAGGTGAGGGTAGAGAGGTGAGGGCAGAGAGGTGAGGGCAGAGAGGGTAGAGAGGTGAGAGCAGAGAGGTGAGGGTAGAGAGGTGAGGGCAGAGAGGTGAGAAGAGGGCAGAGAGGTGAGGGTAGAGAGGTGAGAGCAGAGAGGTGAGGGTAGAGAGGTGAGGGCAGAGAGGTGAGAGCAGAGAGGTGAGGGCAGAGAGGTGAGGGCAGAGAGGGCAGAGAGGTGAGAGCAGAGAGGTGAGGGTAGAGAGGTGAGGGCAGAGAGGTGAGGGAAGAGAGAGGGTGAGGGCAGAGAGGTGAGGGCAGAGAGGGTAGAGAGGTGAGGGCAGAGAGGTGAGAGCAGAGAGGTGAGGGCAGAGAGGTGAGAGCAGAGAGGTGAGGGTAGAGAGGTGAGGGCAGAGAGGTGAGAGCAGAGAGGTGAGGGCAGAGAGGTGAGGGCAGAGAGGGCAGAGAGGTGAGGGTAGAGAGGTGAGGGCAGAGAGGTGAGGGCAGAGAGGTGAGGGCAGAGAGGGTAGAGAGGTGAGGGCAGAGAGGTGAGGGCAGAGAGGGTAGAGAGGTGAGGGCAGAGAGGGTAGAGAGGTGAGGGCAGAGAGGTGAGAGCAGAGAGGTGAGGGCAGAGAGGTGAGAGCAGAGAGGTGAGGGCAGAGAGGTGAGGGCAGAGAGGTGAGAGCAGAGAGGTGAGGGTAGAGAGGTGAGGGCAGAGAGGTGAGAGCAGAGAGGTGAGGGCAGAGAGGTGAGGGCAGAGAGGTGAGGGCAGAGAGGTGAGGGTAGAGAGGTGAGGGCAGAGAGGTGAGAGCAGAGAGGTGAGGGTAGAGAGGTGAGGGTAGAGAGGTGAGGGCAGAGAGGTGAGGGCAGAGAGGTGAGGGTAGAGAGGTGAGGGTAGAGAGGTGAGGGCAGAGAGGTGAGGGCAGAGAGGTGAGGGCAGAGAGGGTAGAGAGGTGAGGGCAGAGAGGTGAGGGCAGAGAGGTGAGGGTAGAGAGGTGAGGGCAGAGAGGTGAGAGCAGAGAGGTGAGGGCAGAGAGGGCAGAGAGGTGAGGGCAGAGAGGGTAGAGAGGTGAGGGCGGAGAGGGTAGAGAGGGTGAGGGCAGAGAGGTGAGGGCAGAGAGGGTAGAGAGGTGAGGGCAGAGAGGTGAGGGCAGAGAGGTGAGAGCAGAGAGGTGAGGGCAGAGAGGGCAGAGAGGTGAGGGCAGAGAGGGTAGAGAGGTGAGGGCAGAGAGGTGAGGGCAGAGAGGTGAGGGCAGAGAGGGTAGAGAGGTGAGGGCAGAGAGGGTAGAGAGGTGAGGGCAGAGAGGTGAGGGCAGAGAGGTGAGGGCAGAGAGATGAGGGTAGAGAGGTGAGGGCAGAGAGGGTAGAGAGGTGAGGGCAGAGAGGTGAGGGCAGAGAGATGAGGGTAGAGAGGTGAGGGCAGAGAGGTGAGAGCAGAGAGGTGAGGGCAGAGAGGTGAGGGCAGAGAGGTGAGGGCAGAGAGGGTAGAGAGGTGAGGGCAGAGAGGTGAGGGCAGAGAGGTGAGGGCAGAGAGGTGAGAGCAGAGAGGTGAGAGCAGAGAGGTGAGGGCAGAGAGGTGAGAGCAGAGAAGTGAGGGCAGAGAGGTGAGGGCAGAGAGGGTAGAGAGGTGAGGGCAGAGAGGTGAGAGCAGAGAGGTGAGGGCAGAGAGATGAGGGTAGAGAGGTGAGGGCAGAGAGGTGAGAGCAGAGAGGTGAGGGCAGAGAGGTGAGAGCAGAGAGGTGAGGGCAGAGAGGTGAGGGCAGAGAGGGTAGAGAGGTGAGGGCAGAGAGGTGAGGGCAGAGAGGTGAGGGCAGAGAGGTGAGAGCAGAGAGGTGAGAGCAGAGAGGTGAGAGCAGAGAGGTGAGGGTAGAGAGGTGAGGGCAGAGAGGTGAGAGCAGAGAGGTGAGAGCAGAGAGGTGAGAGCAGAGAGGTGAGAGCAGAGAGGTGAGGGCAGAGAGGTGAGGGTAGAGAGGTGAGGGCAGAGAGGTGAGGGCAGAGAGGTGAGGGCAGAGAGGTGAGGGTAGAGAGGTGAGGGTAGAGAGGTCAGAGAGGTGAGAGCAGAGAGGTGAGAGCAGAGAGGTGAGGGTAGAGAGGTCAGAGAGGTGAGGGTAGAGAGGTGAGGGTAGAGAGGTCAGAGAGGTGAGGGCAGAGAGGTGAGGGCAGAGAGATGAGGGTAGAGAGGTGAGGGCAGAGAGGGTAGAGAGGTGAGGGCAGAGAGGTGAGGGCAGAGAGGGCAGAGAGGTGAGGGCAGAGAGGGTAGAGAGGTGAGGGCAGAGAGGTGAGGGCAGAGAGGTGAGGGCAGAGAGGGTAGAGAGGTGAGGGCAGAGAGGGGAGGGCAGAGAGATGAGGGTAGAGAGGTGAGGGCAGAGAGGGTAGAGAGGTGAGGGCAGAGAGGTGAGGGCAGAGAGGTGAGGGCAGAGAGGTGAGAGCAGAGAGGTGAGAGCAGAGAGGTGAGGGCAGAGAGGTGAGAGCAGAGAGGTGAGGGCAGAGAGGTGAGGGCAGAGAGGTGAGAGCAGAGAGGGCAGAGAGGTGAGGGTAGAGAGGTGAGGGCAGAGAGGTGAGGGCAGAGAGGTGAGGGCAGAGAGGGTAGAGAGGTGAGGGCAGAGAGGTGAGAGCAGAGAGGTGAGGGCAGAGAGGTGAGAGCAGAGAGGTGAGGGCAGAGAGGTGAGGGCAGAGAGGGCAGAGAGGTGAGGGTAGAGAGGTGAGGGCAGAGAGGTGAGGGCAGAGAGGTGAGAGCAGAGAGGTGAGGGCAGAGAGGGTAGAGAGGTGAGGGCAGAGAGGTGAGGGCAGAGAGGTGAGGGCAGAGAGGTGAGGGCAGAGAGGTGAGGGTAGAGAGGTGAGGGCAGAGAGGTGAGGGCAGAGAGGTGAGAGCAGAGAGGTGAGGGCAGAGAGGTGAGGGTAGAGAGGTGAGGGCAGAGAGGTGAGGGCAGAGAGGTGAGGGCAGAGAGGTGAGAGCAGAGAGGGTAGAGAGGTGAGGGCAGAGAGGTGAGGGCAGAGAGGGTAGAGAGGTGAGGGCAGAGAGGTGAGGGCAGAGAGGGCAGAGAGGTGAGGGCAGAGAGGGTAGAGAGGTGAGGGCAGAGAGGTGAGGGTAGAGAGGTGAGGGCAGAGAGGTGAGGGCAGAGAGGTGAGAGCAGAGAGGTGAGGGCAGAGAGGGTAGAGAGGTGAGGGCAGAGAGGTGAGGGCAGAGAGGTGAGGGCAGAGAGGTGAGGGCAGAGAGGTGAGGGTAGAGAGGTGAGGGCAGAGAGGTGAGGGCAGAGAGGTGAGAGCAGAGAGGTGAGGGCAGAGAGGTGAGGGTAGAGAGGTGAGGGCAGAGAGGTGAGGGCAGAGAGGTGAGGGCAGAGAGGTGAGAACAGAGAGGGTAGAGAGGTGAGGGCAGAGAGGTGAGGGCAGAGAGGGTAGAGAGGTGAGGGCAGAGAGGTGAGGGCAGAGAGGGCAGAGAGGTGAGGGCAGAGAGGGTAGAGAGGTGAGGGCAGAGAGGTGAGGGCAGAGAGGTGAGAGCAGAGAGGTGAGGGCAGAGAGGGTAGAGAGGTGAGGGCAGAGAGGTGAGGGCAGAGAGGGTAGAGAGGTGAGGGCAGAGAGGTGAGGGCAGAGATGTGAGGGCAGAGAGGGTAGAGAGGTGAGGGCAGAGAGGTGAGGGCAGAGAGATGAGGGTAGAGAGGTGAGGGCAGAGAGGGTAGAGAGGTGAGGGCAGAGAGGTGAGGGCAGAGAGGTGAGGGCAGAGAGGTGAGGGCAGAGAGGTGAGGGCAGCAGAGAGGTGAGGGCAGAGAGGTGAGGGCAGAGAGGTGAGAGCAGAGAGGTGAGAGCAGAGAGGTGAGGGCAGAGAGGTGAGAGCAGAGAGGTGAGGGCAGAGAGGTGAGGGCAGAGAGGTAGAGAGGTGAGGGCAGAGAGGTGAGGGCAGAGAGGTGAGGGCAGAGAGGTGAGGGTAGAGAGGTGAGGGCAGAGAGGTGAGGGCAGAGAGGTGAGAGCAGAGAGGTGAGGGCAGAGAGGTGAGGGTAGAGAGGTGAGGGCAGAGAGGTGAGGGCAGAGAGGTGAGGGCAGAGAGGTGAGAGCAGAGAGGGTAGAGAGGTGAGGGCAGAGAGGTGAGGGCAGAGAGGGTAGAGAGGTGAGGGCAGAGAGGTGAGGGCAGAGAGGGCAGAGAGGTGAGGGCACCCCCCCCCCCCCCACAACCCCAAAACCCCCCCCCCCCCCCCCCCCCCCCCCCCCCCCCCACCCCCCCAACCCACAACCCAACACAAACCACCCCACCACCCCCCACCAACCCCCCAACACCCCAACAACCCCCACAACCCAACCACAACCCCCCACACAACAACAACCAAAAACCACCACACACACCCCACCCCCCCCCCAACCCACCAACCCAACCACCCACACCCACACCAAAAAACAACCCACCCCAACCACCACCCAACCCAACCAAAAAACACCACCACCACAAACACCCAACAAAAAACCCCCACACCAAAACCCAACCCAACACCAACCCAACCACCCCCCACACCCCCACCCCCCCAAACCCCCCCCACCAACCCCCCCACCCCCCCCCCCCCCCCAACCACCCACACCCCACCCCCCCCACCAAACACACACCCACACCCAACCCAACCCAACCCAAACCCATCCAAAAAAACCACAACCCACCACCCCACACCCACCCCCCACACCCCCACACCCCCCCACCCCACCCAACCACACCAAACCCCCACAAACAAACAACCCCCCCAAAACCCCCCCCCCCAAACAACCTACCCACCCCCACCACAACACAACAACACAAACCCAAACAACAACAAACAAACAACCCCCACACCACCCCACACCCCCACCACCCCCCCCCACAAACAAAAACAAAACCACCCCCCACCCCCCCCCCCCCCACCCCCCCAACCCCCCCACCCCCCACCCACAACCTAAACCAACAAACCAACCAACACCCTCCCCACAACCACAACCCCCCCCCCCACCCCCCACCACACCCCCCAACCCCCCCCCCCCCCACCAACACCAACACACACACACCCCACACCCACAACACCACAACAACAACCCACAACAACCCCCCCCCCCCACCCCAAAACCCCCCCCCCCAACCCACCCCCACCCATCACCCACACCACCAAAACCCCCCCCCCCAACACCAAAACCAACCACCCAACCCCCCCCACCCCCCCCCCCCCCACACATAAACCCACCCCTCACAAACCACAAAAAACCAAACCCCCCAAAACCCTCCCCCCCCAACCACCCCCCACTACCCACATACCATACCCCACACAAAAAAACACCAAAACCAACACAAACTAACCACCACCTCACCACACCCCCAACACCAAACTCCCCCTCCCCACAAAACACCCCAACTAAAAACAAAACAACCCCCCCCCACCCACAAAAAACCAACACACCCCCCCTCCACCCCCCACAACCCACACCACCCAACCAAACACCCCCACCCCCCCCAAAACAAAACCCACCCCCCCAACACCCCCACACACCCCCACCACCCACCTCCACCCCCCCAAACACACCAAAACCAAATAAACCCCAACAACACACACCACCCAACCAACCAACAAAACAACAAACCCACAAAACACACACCACCCCCACCCCACACCTAAAACCCCCCAAAACCCAAAACCCACCCCACCAACACCCACCACAACAAAACACACACACACACAACCCCCCCCCCCCCCACCACCACAACCCCACCACCCCCCCACCCACACCCACACCAACACACCACCACCAACCACCCCACCCCAACCCCCCACAACCAACCCCACAAAACCCCCAACACAACCCCCCCCCACCCACACAACAACCAACACAAAAACAACAACAACCCACCCAACCCTCAAACCACCCCCCCCACAAACAACCCCCCCCCCCCCCCCCCCCCCCAACCCACCCCACCCAACACCAACCCCCAAACCCAACCCCCACATCAACCATACAAACACACCACCCCCCATATTACCCCCTCCCCCCAAAAACCCACCCCCCCCACCACCTCAACCCAAAAACTACCCACAAAAAAATCCTATACCTAATTTTATCAAACCCACTAATCAACACCATAACACACCACAATCACCACACAAAAACAAACAACACACCCTCACCACACACCAACCACCTCAAAAAACCAACCAAAACACCACCCAACCCCAACCCACCAACCCAACCAAACCAACCCAACAACAACCAACAACAACAACACCACCAAACCCACCACCCCACCCAACCCAAACTACACCCCCCCCCACCCCCCAACCACAACCACAACCCCCACCCCCCCCCCAACCCCCACCCCCCCCCCACCCCACACCTACAATACACCACACCAAAAATACCCAACCCAACAAAACCCCCCCATAACATACACCATCCAAATTACCCCCCAAATCCATCCCCATCCCCCCCCTATCCCCTAACCCCCCCTATACCTAAATATCAAATTAATCAAACTATAAAATATATATCCCCATCAATATATCTAAAATCAAAAAATAAACAAATAACAAACAACTCTACCAAACAAACAATACCCTCACCCCCCCCCACACCCCCCCTACCACTACCACCCAACCCCCCAACCCCCCATCAAACACCCAACCCAACCCACCCCCCAAACAACCCCCCCCCCACCCCACCAACCAACCCCCCCCCCACACACCCCCCACCCAAAAACCCACACACCCCCCCCCCAAACACCCCCCCCCACCCCCCCACCACCAACCAAAACAACCACCCAACCCCCCCCCACCCCAAACTCCCCACCTCAACCACCCAAATCACACAACCCCCACCCCCATCCCCCACCCCCCCACCACCCACCCAACACCACACCAACAACACCCACACCCAAAACCCCAAATAAATATACATTTTCCCCTACTCCCCCCCACATACCAAACCCCTCCCTTTCTCCCACCCTAAAACCAACCCACCCAAACACCAAATACAAACACATAACACAAATACACCCCCTTTTCTTACCACTCACTCCAAACAACCTCATCAACCCACACTACTCCTCACACACCCCCCATCACACAATCCCTCTCACTCCCCATCTCTCATCCTCACTCTCCCACTACTTACACCCCCTCTTTTACCCTAAACACCACACACACCACAACACCACATAACCACACACACAACCAACACAACACCACACACATACACCACCAACACACCACAACACCACACACACACCACACACACCACACAACCCCCAACACTCCCACACAACACCACACACACACCACACCCACACCACACAAACATCTACTACACCCCTCTCTACATCTCCAACACAACCACACTCACACCCCCCACTACATACCAACATCCTCTCATCTCCCCTCACACTCACCCACTCTCTCACACTCAACCCCTCTCTCTCTCCCCAACACAACACCAACAACCCACACACACACCACACTCAACCCCACCACACAATATACAACACCACCCATACAAACATATCCCCCCATACCACAATCCCCCCCCAACCACCCCCACTTACACCCAACCCCCCACCCCAATCAACCCCAACATACCCACACCCACCACCAACCAAACACCAAACCCCACCCCACCAATAACCCCCCACCAAAAACACAACCAACCACAAAACCCCCCCATCTCCAACCCCCACCAACCCACCAACACCCCCACACCACCAAAAAACACCCACCCCCACAAAAAACCCCCACCACACACCCCCCACCCCAAACCACCCCCCCCCCCCCCCCCCCAACACCAACAACACCACCACAACAACACCCAAACAACAAAAACACCAACCACAAAAACACCTACACAAAAACACCAAACCACAACCTACTTCCCTACAACAAAACCACCAACATCATACTACACCAACAAACTAACCTACCAACACAAACCACCCAACAAAACAAACACCCAACCACATTAACACCAAACCCTCTAAACACATACATCATACCAAACACCTACAACAAAAAACAAAACCACACCCAAACCACACCATCAACAACATCAACCCTAATCAATTACACCACCACAACAACAACACACCCTTACCACAATAAAACTACAACACATACACCACCTTCCACTCCATACTCACCCTTCCAACTTACCCCCCCCCCCTCCCATCTACATACTCCCCTTACCATCTTATAAAAAACCCTCAACCCCCACTCACACAACAACAACAACCCCCCCCCCCACACCCCCACCCAACACCCACCATCAACTCCACCAACCCAACCATCCCACACCAATCTTCCCCCATATCCAACCAACAACCATTACCCCCCCCCACCACCCACCCACCAACCCCCCAACAAACCCCAACCCCACAATCCCCACCCCCCCCCATCAAAAACCCCCCCCTATTTAACAAAAACCCACCCCAACAAAACCAATACACCCACACCCACCCCCAAACAACATATTCAACCCTCAACAACCAACACCCCCCATACCCCACACTCAACACACCCCCCCCACAACAATAACCCCACAAACACCCAACCCCCCCCCCCCCCACAACCCAAAAAACCCCCACAACACCCAACCACCCCACCCAAAACATCCCCACCACCACCCACCCCACCCAACCAACACAACACACCACCACCAACCCCCCCCCCCCCCACAAACAAACCCAATCCCAACAAACAAACACCCCACCCAACACCACCCACCAAAACACCCAAACACCACACCCCCCCCCCCAACCACACCCCAAACCCCCCCCCCCCCCCCCCCCCCACCCCCCCCCCCCCACCCCCAAAACACCAACCCACCCCCCACCCCCCACAAACCACCCACCCCCCACACCACACACACCCCCACCCCCCCCCCCACCCCCCCCCCCACACCCACCAACCACCCCCAACACAAACACCACCCCCCCACCACCCCCCCCCCCCCCCCCCCACCAACCCCCCCCCCCACCCACCCACCCACACAAACAAACCCCCCCCCACCCCACAACACCCCCACCCCCCCCCCCCCCCCACCCCCCCCCCCCACCCAAACAAAAAAACCAACAACCACACACCCACCCCCACACCACCCCCCCCCACACACCACCCCCACCAAAAAAACCCAACACAACCACCCCCCCACCCCCACAAAACCCCCCCCCCCCCCCCCCCCCCCACCCACCCCCCCCCAACCCCCACCCACCCACCCCCCCCCACAAACCCCCCACACCACAACCCACCCCCCACCAACCCCCCCCCCCCCCCCCCCCCCCCCCCCACCCCAAAAAAAACCCCCCCACCCAACCCCCCCCCCCCCCACACACCCCCCACCACCACCCCCAAACAACCCCCACAAACCCCCCCACACCCCCACCCACCACCACCCCCCACCCACCCAAACACACCCCCCACCACCCCCCCACCCAACCCACCCCACCCAAACCACCCCCCCACACACACACCCCACCACCCCCCCAACCCCCAACCAACACACACTACACAACACCACACCCCCCCTCACAACCCAACCCCCCCCACCCCCACCCCCCACCAACACAAACCACCCCACCCCCCCAAACCCAACAACACCAACCCCAACCCCCCCACCCCCCACAACCCCCCCACCCCCCCCAACACACAACCCTCACCACAACCCCCCCCACAACCCCACCCCCCAACCCACCAACACCCCCCCACACAACAAACCAACACAACCCAAACACCACAAACAAAACACACCCCCCCCCCCAACCCACCCACAACCCCCACCCACCCCCAACCCCCCCACAACCCCCCCACCAAAACACCCAACAAACACAACCCCCCCCCCCAACCCCACCAACCCCCCACACCCCAACCCCCCCCACCCCCCCCCCCCCCCAACAACAACAACAATACACCACCCACCACCCCAACACCCCCCCCCACACCACACCACAACCCCCACACACCCAAACCCAACACCCACCATCCACCAACACACACACAACCACCCAACAAAAAAATCCCAACCACCCCACACCAAAACAACCCAACCCCCCCAACCCCCCCCAAACAACCCCCACAACCAAACCCAACCCCACAAAACCCACCCAAACCACCCCCCCCCACACACACCAAAAACACACCCCCCCCCACACCCCACACCCCCCCCCAAACCCAAACCCCACCAACACCAACCCCAACCAAACCCCACCCCCCAACCCCCCCCCCACAAACCCCCCCCCCCCCCCCCCAACACCAACCACCCACACACACCAAACCCCACCCCCCCCCAACACCCAACCCCCCCAAACAACAAACACAACACCCCCAAACCCCCCCCAAACACCCCAACCCCCCCCAACAACCACCCAAACCAAAAACACACCCACCCACACCACTCCCCCCCCCCCCAAACAACACCCTCCAACCCCCCCCCTCCAAACACCCCCCCCCAAAAACCACCAAAACCAAACACCCCCACCACCCCCCCACCCCCACAAAATTACCCCCCCCCCCCACCCCCCCACCCAAAAAAAAACCCCCACCCCTACCCACCCCCCACCCCCCCACCCCCCCCCTAAAACACACCAACCCCAAACCCCCCACTAACCACCAACCCCCATACACCCAACACACCACAACCCACTACCCACCCAAACAAACCAACTATAACAACACACAAAACCAAATCCACAACAACCCCAACCCCACCCCACAAACAACCAAAACCCCCCACACAACACCCACAAATACCCACCAACCACCCCCACAACCCCCCCACCCCCACCCCACCACTACACAACCCCCACCAAAAACCCCCCAACCCCCCCCCCCCCCCACCCACACCCCCCCCCCCCCACACAAAACACCCCCAACACCCACCCCCCCACTCCCCCCCCCCACCCACACCAACCCCCCAACCCACCCCACCACCCCACCCCAAACACACCAACACCACCCACCCAAAAACCCCCCCCACAC